ACAGTTACAGCCTTTAGATTCGAGCTATATTTTGCACATACCTCAGACTTGGATTGTTGGGGGTTTTTTATACTCCAAGAGTCTAATTCTAAAAAATGCAGGCTCTAAAGACCCATTGTCAAATGAAACACATATGCCTTGTTTGATTTGTTTTTCCTCTCTTGCAATATCAGCTTTCACTACAGAAATGCAGACAACCCCATGTTTGGGTAGAGAAATGAAACCACCAGCACACGCAGGATGTCCAGGTGCCAGCCCAGGCTCCCAAAACCCCAATCCCAAAACAGGAACTTTTGTGCGCACTTCTGAAAACCTGGACATCCCTGTAAACATCTCTCCATTCTGCAGGACTTTATACTGTTGCTTTTTGCTTTGGCACCTGATCACAGTTCTGCTGTGTCCTTCTGGGACTTTCCTGGTCTCTCAGACAAGAATAACAACAACAAATCCAACAAGCCAACCAAAGAGAGAGTCTGAACTTTCTCCTGGAGAAGATAGTATGGCTATTCCTCGATTTGCCTGCCAGCTGCCTCCTGTCTCAGAAATGAACTCCTCTTCCTTCTGCTCCCCAAAGACACACCACGCTTGCTTGTGACACAACTGCCATTAACCACATCCACCTGCCAGGGTGACTCTATTTCCTTACAAAGGACACAGCATCTGAGCCGAAGGTGGGACAGGAGGGAAGCCCAGCAGTGTCTAGCAAAAACTTCCTGCAGGGTTTTCTCTCCACCAGAAAAGCTGTAGGTTCATTCTGATCAGGAAGTAACTCAGGACTTTTTCTTGTGAAAATGCTGGATCATTTTATTATGTTTATACCCAATATTTCATTTTAGGGAGAAAACCGATTGCCCCAAAAATTGTTGTGGTTTCCTGCCATGAAACACTGAATTATGTCTTCCTTCATACTCAGAAAATTAAAACATATATTTAAACACTAACCTTTTCTATTTTGCTGGGAGGGGGGAAAAAGTGTGGTAAAAATCAGGTTAAGAAGAACTTTATTTTTTCAAACAAAGAGTGGTATGTTATGGCAAAATGGATTTTTTTTTATTATTATTTTTTAAAGGAAAAAAATCTCTCCCTCAACTCCTTTGATTTAGGGAAATACTGAGTTTCAACAGATTTATCTTTTGTAAGTGTCTCCAGGTTAACTGCCTCTGGACTTTGCTCTTTTGCACCTCTCCAGGAAGAAAATAAATCCTGTCAGTTTTGCTTCTAGGCTTGTAGGGACCAGCAATAAAACTTTCCAAACCATCTTGGTGGCCTGGGAACATAAGCTCTCCATCCACTCCCTGGGCTGAGTATCCAGAGTTCTCTTTTGACCATTTTCCTTGTATTCTTGTAACTCCTGCTACGTGCTGTTCACAGCAGCTCTGTAAGAGATGACACTAGTGCTGATTTCATGTACTTTTTCTCTCCATCTCTTGCCTTAAGGTCCAAATTCCCATCACAGTTTTCCCTGTGGATGAAACAAAATGTCTTTGTTGTGTGTGAGAAGAGGCATCCTCGTCCTCCCGCCTGCACCGTAGTGAGAGCCGGGGTCTCTTCAGCTGCCAAGTTTTCTCAGAGCTTTTAGGAATGTAGCATTGCTGGTAGCCATGCTTGTCTCGCAGATGGGAGGCAAACCAGGACTCAGAAAGTCCTGGGAATGGCACAGACAGAGGGACACACACACAGCCATGCATGCACAGAAAGAGCCAGGTAGCACAGGCTTTGTTTCTTTAGGAAACAAGGCTTAAAACAACCAGTAAAACCCATGCACCCAGTGTAAATCATACAATAGCATTCACTCATGCCAGGATTTCTGAACCTGTTTTTAGAGCATTATGCTTAGGCCCAGCATTAGCTGAGGGTCTTGTTGCTCATCTGAAACCATTAAGCTGTTCCCCTTGTGAACTCTAATCAACATCTGAACCCGTGTATCCTCAGCATAATGTGTCACCTTCCCCACTCTTGGGAAATGAAGCCCTCCAACGAGTGCTGAGGGGATGAAATATGGATTGCAGATGTTGAACCAAAAAAGGGCTCAGAAACAAGTTTGTGGAGCTGAAATACAACTTCCAAAACCTGTTTCCCTCTAACATTTCAGTCAGCTGTTCAACAAGTCTTTGGGGGGAAAAGGACTGCTGTTTCTTCCCTTCTTTTCCTCTCCCTTTTCAATTTTGTATTTTTGGACAGTTTTTTATTCTCTTTTATCTCTAATTATTTATACTCTGTGCTTTAACATCAGCATACATTTTGGAAGTCATCTCCAAAGTTTAGTTTTGTCATTGCTTGTTGAAATGTGGGAACCTGAAATAGATCTGCTGCGGTGCAGGCAGAGAAAGTGCTGGGCTCTTCCAGACCCTATGCATTTGTTTACTTTAACTTAAATTCGTCTTTTGTAGGGAATAATTCTAGTGGACACTGAAGGACACATCTGGGCATGCGTTGCACGCATCCAGGGCAGGAGAAGGCTCCTGAGCTGGTCAGGTGTTTCCACTCATACAATCCAAAAGCAGGACTCTAGTTGAAGGCATTTTGAGCAGAACAGGCTCTGGAGCCCAAGCAAGTCATTAGCAGTCTTTCAACTGACTTTGAAGCAGGTCTCTGAGACCCAATCTGTTTTATATGGTGGAATGTGGAAAAACAACCACTGCAGCTAATAAAAAGAAGGGGAACAAAACAATACTCCTGTGCGCCTGCCAACCCTGGCTTCTCCTGCCCCTTTGGTGCCTGCAACTGGCCAGACTGCACCCCTTCCCCACTTGACTCCTGTAATTTTCTGACCAATTTAAGTATGACCTGTAACTTCCCTTTTTACATCACTCATGAATTTGAATGCCTCCTAATTTTAGTTGCACCTTATAAATCCAGTGGAAGTGATTGTGTGATCATAAAACCTTGGACTGGTTCCCAGAGGAGCTACTCTGGTTGTGAGCAATACGCCTGACACCAAAAATGGATCCCTTTGGGACTAATGCACAGGCACACACCCTGCACACTCTATACATGAGGACATACTCACGCACACCCACATGAGCTAAAGCTACAACAAAACCTGAAGCAGGAGGTATGAACCATGACTGCACACATGAAGCTTCCATATCATACACATGTTTTTTCACCTCTCTCCATTTCACAGCCAGATCTCTCTGGACAACTTCACACCTTTGTAAATAAAGAGCATTTAAAAATAGCTCTCCTGAAGGCTCGCCTGAATGAAAAAGATCAGGGCTGAGGGCTGATACGGATCAGAGGAGTGGAGGGAAAAGGCACTGCCCTTCCAGCCTCGTGGCCTGCGACACACACAGAAGTGTCAGTAGTCGGTGCAGGTAGCTGGAGGCTGATGTTTATTTTGGCACCTGCCAAGGTGACTTTGTTGTTGGGATCTGGGCTTGGCCAGCAAACTGTGCTGGTAGGACAGCATCCAGACTAATGTAATAAGCCGTGTCTTGAGGGAAGCCAAAAGAAAAGACAAAAAAGACCACACACAACTTGGGGTTGGTGCCTGGATTTTACAGGAGGTTGGGGGGGGCGGTTCTTTTTTTTTTATTGGTTTTTTTGTTTTGGTTTGTTTTTTTGTTTTAAACTACTGTCCTTATTTTTCTCCTTTTTGTGAAAATACTTAGGGACTTGGGAAAAGATTTGAGTCATTATGAAAATGTAATTCTATCTCATGATACAGCTGTAGTGAACCAGGGCAGCTAGATCTGGGGGAGTCAGCAAATCAGGCTCTCTGATTAGGAAGCAGGGAGGCCTTTGGTCAAATTTAATAGAAACAGATTTGTTATATTTGGAACATTTTATCAGAGAACATGTTGTCTCTTTAATGTTTTGTATCTGCTTGTCAGGCACTGGGACACTTCCCACAATAAGAGCAGGCTCTCAAGAAGACTCAGAGATGTGGCTGGGTGGGGGAAAAGGAGCTGTTAAGATGATTTCTGGCTATCAGAAAACTTTGTCCAGGCTGAGAGGAAAGGCTAATGTCTACATAGTATGCGTTGCCTGTAGGAATCTCTCTCCCTCCAATAACATAGGGGAAAAAAAGCCTTTTACTTGTCTCATCTGTCAGCTAAAATCAAAGCAAAACACACCTCATGATATTTACAGGTTAGGTTTTAGACAACTGGCTAGTCTCTCTCCTCCCTGGTGAACCACTGCTATTGATTTAATGAGCTTTAATGCAGCAAATAAACAGTAAAAGTCAGCCCAGCTAAAACCATCAAAACCACTGGGAAATCCTCAGGTCTTTGCAGTGGTGTTGCCAGCCTGTACAATGATGGACAGAGACTCTCTGCCAGTCCAGTTCAGGGGCAAATAAGAAAAGATTTGCACAGCACTTAGCTCTAAGTGACTGTCTATGGAAAGCAGAAATAGCAAAGGAGACAGTGAGGCAGTGTAATTTTAAATTATTCCAGAAAGTTATAATTTCCCTCAATTCTTTACTCAAGAGTCTCCATCTGAAATACTTTGGACAGTTTTGGGCTCCCAGTATGAGAGAAATTTAGAGCAGGTGAAGAGGAGTCAGTAGAGAGCCTCTGAGGTGGCTGGAGGGCATGAACACAATGTCCAAAGAAGGGCAGAGGCAGGAGGTTGGGCTTGAGATGTCCACCAGCTTCAGAGCAGAAAGGGCGGGCTGGTGAACATCCTTTAATAGGAAGAATCTATCTTCCCAGACCCCAAAAATCCCGTTGGATAGATTGTGCTGGATTCCACTGGAGAACTTCCAAAAGGAGATTTTTCTTGTCTGATTCTCTTTTGGTTGTCTGTTATGACAGACCTTCATGGAGTCTATATCTCCTATGTCTCGATCTTGTGTTTAGCCAGGAGCAATCTCTCAAGACTTGCCATCCACTCTGATCTCACAAACTACAGGAGGCCTCCTGTGAAAACTTCTTTGAGTAGGAAATAAATCTGATGAGTAACTGCGACATTTCCTTAGAAAACAAAACTAAGCTAAATGTGGAAAAACAAAGTGTTTCACCTCACAATAGAGAGTATCCACTGTAAGGAGCTGCTTTGTTATCAGTTTATTTTAGAGAGCAGATTTCCAAAATGGAAAGACCTTGACAAGTTCTTCTTTATACAGTTACATCTGACAGCAGAGGTGTCAACTGAATCTTTCAGTATTTTACTCCTGAGGGGCTCCATCACCTTCAGACACAAAGCACGGGACTTCTCTTGAAGTTTGGGACTTTCTCCAACCTGCAGATGAAATTGCCTGCTGGATTCTTAATACCATATATGAAGAGACAGATAGTAAAAACTTTCCCTTCCTTCTCTTTCCTGTCTATTTTTATCTGAGTAGTCTGAAAAGTCCATCGCCTGAAGGTATAAAAAAGGTTGGTGATAAAACTGTGTGTATTTCCATCTGTTGTTGTTTCTTGCACTCAGACATTCTGCCTGTTCAGAGTTAATTGTACGTTGGCTTTACTTCTCATAAAGGACCCAAAGGACCTTGACCTTTGGCACTTACACAGGTTTTTTACTGTGGTCTTATGCACATAGATTATGCAGCCTGTGTGGAAAGGAAGTAGTTTTCTGAACCTGACTTCGGAAGTCATGAACTCCAGCGCATGGACTGGGATATAAGGAGACCCTAGGAATTTAGCATTTCCATCTCATTTTGCAACACGAGTATCCCCATTCTGATACAAAACACCTACAGACTTAATCTACCCTTGGGTGAAATGAATTCTCTCATAACTGTAGCTTAGCCCAAATAATTGTATGTGCTATAGACACTTGACACAGTGGGGTAGATTTAATAAACCGGAGCTGTATAGACCATTCCTGTGGTTTAGCTTTAGAACCTCTCTATCGAAAACTTAGGAAATGAAGAGTTAAAAAGGAAATCCACATGTGTTTATAGCCAAACGGACTATAATGAACGTGTGAAATGAATTACCAAGAAAAGCCTTTGGTAAATTATGGTTTAAGCATAAAGGCCAGTCAAAAAAAAAACAGGTTGAATGAGAAAATGAAAGACATAAAGTTCAGAGGGCGACAGTTACAGGCAGCTGACAGGCTTGTCAGAACCAGCATACTTCTTCTCTGCAGTGACTCACGGTTTTCATCTCTGTTACCATGTGTGTCCTCTCAGAAAGAGAGCAGACCACCTATGCGATGCTGAGCTTTCCCTCCACGTGCATAGAGATGTGCCCATACATTTATAATCAGAAAGCTGTGTGGTCTAGGATTTCAAGGGGGAAATAAAAGTTGGATTCAAGATCCTGAGTTTTAATCCCAGTGGTTCCCAAAGGCTCATTGCACCAAACCTGAGAAAGTCACTTGCTTGTATCTGCAATTAAGGAATATGAGACCTTTGGGGAACCATGTTTTCTAATGAGTAGATCTTTCTTGTTTCCTTGCTTATTTCTGACAAGGATAATAAATACAAAATGGGCCTATTTAGATAGTCCATCTCTATGTTTCCATTCATTCACTTCTTTGTTTTCTTGCTTTGTCAAGTGGTCCAGGCTACAAGTAGGAAAATATTTTAAGAGATGCCCAGCTTCATGTACAAAACTTCTACCTGAAGATTTGGCTGCTGGTCCTTGTGAGTCAGTCCCAGACCTTAAAACTACCACAACCACGTACCTTTACCTTACTTGCCTGACTCTCCTGAAATCAATCAGAGCTGCTTACCCAAAGTCCTGACCTCCTTGTTGTTGCTGATGGCTAAAAATTTGTGCAAGTCCCAAAAGAAGCAGGATAAAAGACATTTGTTACCCTTTCATGCTAAGGTAATCTTGTTCCCCTTAGGTGCTTTCTCTAGGCTAGTTTTGAATAGCTGAGTAATAAGAAATTTTCATCCCTGCAGATTATAAGGCTGCAGACTGATGGCATCTTCTTGTCTTGGCTTAGCAATGTAGTCAAGACAGTCCAAACTGTCTTTACATCATTTTCTTGAAACTGATGGCCTCCAGAAATGTACAGGTGGCTTCCCTGGCTGACATGCATTGGAGGCTCCTGGGCATGCTAAGCCTCGTAGTATGTAAGAGTCACTGGAGGCAGAGATGGTGCCAGGCTTGTATTTGTATTGGAAAGGACAGTTGTTTCTCAGGGCACTCTTTTGTATCATGCAAAATATAAATTTCTTCAAAATTTCCAGCCATGGAAGGAAGAAAGTTTTTCCAACTGAAAACATGAAAACTTTCCATTAAATGCCAGATTGTGTGATACAAAGCACTGATGGCCCTCTGGCCACAGCTGCTTCTGTTTAGTCATAGTGTGAGCAAAAAGACACTCAAATAACACATTTGCACTGGAACAGCCCTTGCTCTAACTTGCGTTACTGCAGCTGGACTCACATCAAAACCCAATGCACCGTGTGGAAAGCAATTACCCACTGCAAAATGGTGGAATGAAAAGCACTCTTCAATATCCCCTTTCTTAATGGTGCTGAACCAGATCCGGCAACCCAACAAAATACTTGAGACTCTTTCTCTCTCCCCCTCCTCCTCTTTCTTTCCCTCTTTTCCTCTGTTTTCAGCTGCATTGCAAGATCCATCAGGCATGCTAAGCTGAGAGCAATTTTACCAGAGCTTTTATCGTCCCATCCAGGTTCTTGACTGGCCTGGCAAGACTTGTGTAACTCCTTGTAAAACTGTGAGGATTCTGGTTAGGGGCCACATTGCACTAATTTACAGGACATAAACAGATATTGTGAGACCAACCATGAGATATGGGGAGGATTCAGCTAAGCTTCTTGAACAGACTCTGTGGCCCAGCTGGTGGCCAGACGTAACCCGGACACATAGTTTTGAATCTGGGAAGGGATGAGTCGGGGAGCTGTGGGAGCAAAGGTCTGCAGAACCCATGGCAGAAAAAAACCGCTATGTGAAGCCTTTTATAAGAGATGAGTTGTTAGAGGTCCCATTTCACAAAACAGGTGCTTGTTTTTCTTCAGCAAAACACATACATGAGAAAACAAATTGCTGCAGACCAAAATGACAGTCTTGTGATACAAAAGAGGGAGTTTGCTGAAACAGCTTTGCATCGTCAAGTGCGTCCAATGGTGTGCCTTATTTGGGAGATGCAGCCTGTCAAGTTCAAGTGAATTAGATCATTGATTTTCTGATGCAGGAAGCACAGCAAGATTTCCCAGCAGCCAGGAGGGTGGTTTGTTTGGGTTGGGTTTTTTTATTATTAGAATTCATGTTTTTCCTTGCTGATAAAATTTATGTCAGAATACAATGGCATTTGTAATCCAAATAATTTATAGCCTCTTTTTTTTTTCAATTGTTCTCCTTATTTTGTTTCCCACCTTCCTATGGGAAAGGACCCCACGTTTGGAGTAAAACATCTCCATTCAGTGGCTTGGGGTTTTCTTTTGCCACCTTTAATACTATATGTCACCTACTAGCAGGCTAGAAAGCTAGTACCCTATCAAAAACCTATACCTCATTCTAGATGATACATAATCCCAAATGAAAAGGAGTTCCTTCCTCAGAGAGGTTGCTATTTACCCCCACAATAAAAAATGCAATATAGATGAGCACTAACAGAGCAAAGAGGACACAGAATTAGTACTCCACATGGAGAGATATTCAGGTCACCCAATTTCAGACACTGCCCCTTGTTGTCCTGCCTTTCTGTCATCTCAGCATGGCCCATGACAACACTCAGATTTCCCATTCCATAGTAATTGCTGGTTTGCCAAGAGTATAAGTCTTGATGTAGTCTTACCCCAAAGGGCAACACTTGTAACACACCAACCCATGTGGCACACCGACCCCATGAGTGCAACAGAGTGTGTGCCACCCACTACAAGTGATAACCTGGGGTGGCAATTTGCAGAACACACAAACTTATCCCCACCAGCTGGTGAGTGGACTGGTGAGTATGAAGTGGATCTGCTTTTTCTGAGCTGCTGTGGTGGCTGGTCAACACCAGGGGTATCTCCCCACTGAGAAGTGACTGTGTGATGCTTAGGCAGGGCCAGCACCAATAAAGAGCTGTGGAAGTTGCTAAAGGCATTTTAAATGAGCGGGACATGAAGAATATATCTCTGCACTCGAGAGGTGGATACTCAGCAGTTTTGGGGACAGGCACAGAGTAAAGAAGAGGAGCTGCGTCTCAAAAGCTGCCATTGAGAAGCCCTGTTGTAGTGAGTGCACAAGGACTTGGGGGAGGATTAAAAGGAGAGCCTGCTGGGAAAGCAGAAGGCGCTAGCGAGAAGAGCAGCGAACAAGCGCGCTAATTGCAAGAGCAGCAAGGAAAATATGACAGGGAAAAGAGTCAAGGGGAAGCCAGAGGGGCCCCATCAGCCTGCTGCTTTGTCGGGTGCAAATGGTTTCAGCAGAGGCAGCTCACAGCTGTAGGGAGCAGGTGCAAGGGCAGACGGATGCTGCCCTGAACCTGGGGAGAAGGCTGTAGGCAGGAAGGAAACTGGTTTTCCCAAGCTCCAAACAACAGCACGCGAAAGAGGGAGAAGAAAGGAGAGCAACATTCAGACAGAGGAGAAACAGTTCTGTCACTCTCCACTTCAGGAGCATGATGGGCAGATGAAAGATGAATTTACTTCAGCCAGTCCTGTCAGATGTTTCTGAGCTATGGGACTTATCAGCTGTCAGAACAGAAAAGAATAAGCTAAACAAAAAGCTTTCACAACCCTCATTCCCAAATCTGTGCGTCATAGTGTGCCACAAAAAATGATTTCTGGTTTTTTCTTTTTCTTTCTTTTTTTTACCCCCTTTTCTCTGCTACTACTAAATACTTTTTCCTTTCTCTCACTGGACAGCTGGAGAGAATCCAGACGGCTGCTGTTTTTGTGCCTGCACAGTGAATGCAATGCGGGGATGCTTATAGGTGGCTTTCCAAGTAGCCAAACACAATGGTAGCAAGGGGCAATGTGTGTGGGGAGCAGAGAGCTTTCTCTGGACTGAAATGGCAGAGGCAATGGCAGTGTGGGAATTCAGGGCTTCCTATCTCTTCATTCTTCCTTTATCTACCTCAAAACCTTCTGCTTCTCTTCCCCTGTGCCACCTCCTTTCAAGGGCCAGCCTGTTCAGATGGGTGCCACCACACAAAGCCCGGATGTCTCTGCACAACAGTCTCCCTGTGGATTCAGCTGGTGGCTTGTTCTAATTAATTCCTTTTAAGCTGGAGTCTGGAGGTAATTGTCAGTCCAGATACTCTTGACTAGCTCAGATGAATACTCAGTACTGGGCTGGAAGAAAAGGAGGTAAAAGGAGCTCTGC